AAATCACCGCTTTTTAAAAAATTGTGAAACAAACAAAACTTTACTGCTCATAGCAATAACAGGTACATTCAAGGAGGGAAGGAAGCGGTGAACATCTCTGACTGAAGGGTCAGAGAAGCCAGTTTAGGAGACTTGCTCTGCCCCAAACACCTTAGGGACATTAAGAATACAGAACTCCCCACAGAAGTCAGCTTGGTGGTCAGGGCTACCCATGGGAGGCGGTCTATGTTCACTTTCCTGTGTGCTACAAACTTAGGCTTCTCTCATTTACTGTGATGCTTTACTTCTTACATATAAATTAAGAAGAAAGGAATTTTTACTTCTTCCAAAGAGAAAGAATTCCAGTCTTCAGCTAAAAATAACTCAAGTAATATGGAAAATATGAAGGGGAAAAACTATTAAGCTACTGACGTGTTAAAAGAACTATTTGTAAATCACCTTTGACCTTTTTATGGCCCTTTGAGGTTATGGGGGTTGGGAGTGACTACTCATCTCCATTAGAAGTTCTGATGAACTGCTGATATTTTCATTCAGTTATTATTTTTAAATGTAAAATTTACATGTTCAGCTCTGTGGTCAACACTGTAAATCAGGACTTCTTTCAGGCAGGAATCAAACAAGAAAGTTGTGGCTAATTTTCCTTTGCATCTTCTATTTTGCTAAATATTTCAGCAAAGGCATAGCAGCAGCATAATTCCCTCTCTCAGGAAAGGCATTAGAAGACCTGCAGTTAAAGCAGGTCCTTGTACAGAAAACAGCTTCTCCAATGTGCCAACTACCCAGACTGAGACTCGAATACTCACCCTGACCCAGCAGGGAGTGACGGCAGAGCTGAAGGGACATTAGCCTGTGGTTTTTCTTTCTCATTTTGCTTGAAGAAGGATTTGGCTTCTTTAGATGTAGCATCCACTTCCTTAGTCACTCTGTGCCAAGGAAAGAGATATCAAGTTTATAAGAGGAAGAGAGAGAGAGAGAAATAAAATCTAAGGAAAGGGAATAAATGACAGCTAGGAAAATATCCACTGGGCTTTCAATAAATTCTGGCTGCTGAGCTTTATGATTAAAGTTTACTACAATTCTAAATAAAAACATTTTCTCTGACTAAAACTAACAAATGAAACAACAATGTACATAAATTTTATCTCCCTAAAAAGTCCCCTCTATGACTTCTGTCAGCATGAAACACACTCCAGCAGTCACTACTAAATCTCAGTCTGACGTGGGTTACTAATGTGAAGGCTGGAAAAGGCCCTCATGATGTACCTCACACAGAGATTAGTATTCAGACTTAACGGTCCAGTGAAAGTTGAGATGGGGAGATGGAATATTGGGGAGAAAAACATTGTTATTATTTCAAGGAGAAAAGCAACAGTATAAACAATTGAAAATACTCTGCGGAAGGCTCTACACCTAAAACAACCCAAAGATGAAACAAAATCCCTTAGAACTGGTTATATTAACACTAATGCAGAAAGAGAAGAAAGCAACATGACCGACTGGAAAAACTGCCCTCAATAAAACTGAGTCCTAAAGGATCAAAAAGGATATTTATGGTGCCCGAAGTTTCAGATGAAAACAGACGAAATGCCTAATCCCTGCCTAGGCTTGCCAGATCAACAAAAACTTCTGAAGAATATTGTTTAAATTCCAATTTATTGATGGGAGGGTCCAAGATTATGGTCATTATATAATGAATGTTGAATATGGTCAGAAAAAGATTGGCCAAGAATAATGACAGATTATCTTATAAATTCCATCTTTGAAGAAATATCTCTATTTATCTATCTTCTGGCCCTCCTTCTAGGACAAATTTTCTTATTTACAGTCATCTTACTCCTGCACTTAGTACTGTGTCACATATACAAGTGGCACAGAATAAGAGTCTAGGAGTTTTTGAATTAAAAATCTTCACTGGGAACAACTGACGAATTCATCTTAAAGAGTGACTTTATTTTTTCAATCCTGTTACTCCCTTGATCAAGTTCTTGTGATGGCCCAGTATTACTCAGAGGATCAAATATAAACTGCTGAACCTCACATTCAAGGCCTTCCAAAATCTGGTCCTACTCTAAATCAGGCTCAATTTGTGTGTCTCTCTACTTTCCCAAATGAACCTCTTAGTAACATGAGTCAACAGTAAAAAATATGAGAAAGAATTTTATGATAGATTAGATTATGATTCAGCAAATATTCCCTCCTTCGCTATTAAAGTAACAAAGACACTTCCCCACCCCACTGATGCTGAGCTTGGATATAAGACCTGCTTCAATAGCCAATGAGATATTGGCTGATTTGACAGGAATAGAAGCTTTAAATATGTTTGTGCTATTTCACTTGTCCCTTGAATTCTTCCCTTGAGCCAGAAGAATATGCCCCAACTAGCTGCTGGTTCAAGACCTTGGATATAAGACCTGCTTCAATAGCCAATGAGATATTGGCTGATTTGACAGGAATAGAAGTTTTAAATATGTTTGTGCTATTTCACTTGTCCCTTGAATTCTTCCCTTGAGCCAGAAGAATATGCCCCAACTAGCTGCTGGTTCAAGACAGCAGAGCAGTAAGACACATGCCGCAGACCTGAACCCAACAAGAAGCTTGCAGTCAAACTTAGTTCAACAGAACCCCAGACATCTAGAGGCACATGAGCAACAAATAAATGCTTGTTGCTATATACCACTGAGTTTGGGGATGGTTTGCTACACAGCATTACGGTAGCAACAGCTGACTTACACATTTACATTTCATGAGTGAGAAAACTGAAATCTAAGGAGTTAAGTTACTTATTCAAGACTATCCAGAGATTAAGTGGCAATGCTAGAGAGAACCCTGTTGCAGACAGTGTTTTCTAAAAATGGTTACCACAAATTTCCCATCTCACATGCTCTTTCAGAACCCTGATATTACCCTAGTGAGAGGGGAAGTCTATGCTACCACCCCTTGAAACTGAGTGGGCTTTCGTGGCTGCCTCAACTCCTAGAGTTCTATGGAAGTGGCACTACATAACTTCTGCGCTAGATGATAAAAGGTGATACAGCTTCTACCTGGCTCTCTCTTCTGGGAATGTACCTTTGGAACTCCAAGTTACCACACAAGAAGTCTAGCTACTCTGAAGCCACTATGGTCTAGAGACTATATGGGAAGACCACGTAGAGACAGATGCCTGAGAAGCCTGTTCCAGCTCCCAGTTGTTTGAGTCTTCCTAGCCCTAGTGCCAGGCATGGGAATAAAAAAACTTTTGATATGGCTTCAGACCCAGCCACTGTCTGACTACAACTGCACAGGAGACCCCGAGCAAAAATTGCCTAGGTGAGCCCAGCTGCCCCTGGAACTATGAGAAATTTTAATAAAACAATTGTTTAAGCCACTAAATTTTGGGGGGATTTCCTATACTACTATATAGATAACCCTAATAAGCCTACATCCAAATCTCAGACTTAATTCAGAGTCCCAGAGTACTAGACTAGAATGAGTTCCTTTAAATCTCCTTTGCCTTAGTAGAATCCGGGGTAGGCCTGAGATGGCTAGTGAAGAGCAAATAGAAACTTCCACTTACACATGGTGGTCTGAACACATGCTTTATCTTCCACTCTCTACCAAAACCCTATTGAATA